GGGGGTTCGAAAGAACCGCCCCTTTTGCTGGGAAAAGGTCCACTCTGGGTAAAATTTGATCTAGGTACATGTAGTTTTTATGGGAAAAGGTCCACTTTTTCAGAAAAAGAACCCCCCTTTTGAAATTGCTGGCTACGGGCCTGGACAGACAGACAGATTTACACATCATCATCTATACTAGTACATGTACACCCATACTATTATACACCTTTGAGGCAGCCGCACATGGTTGCTCTGAATTTCTTAATCCTTTTCTCCTCAATTAATAGGGGGGCAAACACGCGGAGAAGGAAAAAGAAGTATTTCAGGTATTTTCTTCCCTAGCAGTGCTTGTGCTCTTGTTTTATTGAGTTGGTCCCCCTCAGTAGCTTATACCTCCATCTTTTGAAATGATCCCTCTCTGTGAATTCATACTTTGTGATCTGTGCACTATGTAAACAGTGAATGAATGTCATAATTTTTTTTTCATGAATTATTATTAAAATTTTTATTATTTTTAAAATCAAAAATGTACTTATCATAGGAGTAGAATGTTATACAATTTGTGTCAATCTTTTTAATTTTTATTTATTTTGTTATCATGTTCTTTTATTATTTTTTTATTGATTCTCTAAATTTTGGTTTCATGCTAGTATGTGATTGTCATTTTAGCCCAGTGATCATGAATTAATAAAGTTGATTCTTTAAAAAAGACCTGTATACATAATTAAAATAATTATTATTAATGATCTCAAATGCCAGAAAGGAATTATTCTAAGAAATCTGTAGAAGCTGATACCTATATGTGACATGAAGTTTGCTTGCTTCAGTCTGAACTTGTTTGAAAAGTTTGTGCGCTAGTGTGTATATTAGTAGATGACTATTTTTAATGGTAGGGAAGAACGTAGGGTATTTTGAATTGTAACTTATTATTTAGAAGTGCTTGCAGTTTTTTCCTGTACAAATGAATAAAGATCTTAAAATGTCAAACTTTAATCATGAATGTTCATAATCCAGTTAAAAAATTTCAAAGATACTTAAGGATGACATGTAGTTTTCAACTGATGTTGAGTTTATGAAAGCAGCTTTCAGCTTTGAATTGCACTTAGTTTCAAGAGGGAGTTCTGTTCATGACCCTTGCACTACCCATTATGCCTCAGTTTTATTTAGAAATGTGTGTTGTGTTTGTGGGTGTGTGTGTGAACAAGAGAGAGAGAGAGAAAGAGAGACTTTTTGAATAAAAATTTGCAAACATTAAAAAAGACATTACAATTTATAGCAATATTACAATATTTGACTCTAAATCTAATTATACAACAAAATGCCATCTCAAGTGAAGCAAATATGAAATAACTTGGTTCATACATATAATTATTTAGACCATGAGCTCAGGTGGTGGACTTACGAGTGATCTTCAGCATAACAATTCTTATTAACCCTGGCCTCTTCGTAGATATATATATTCTGGGCAGTAATGGCACTTAAAGGTGGCAGTGCCTCCATTAGCTAAGCATGCGATAAGTCTCTGTGATTGTTTTATCAACAAACCAAGCAAGGTGATTGCTGATATTGATTATCAAAGTAATACTGGTACTTACCAGAGAGAGCATCTGGCCTGCAGTGATCATAGTGGTCAACTAAAGTCATAGAAGTCGTACCAAAGAGCTGGCACAGCCATATTGTATGTCTTTAGGCTAAGACACAGGTGTCGTCACTCAGTGGCCTTGTTCACACTGGGCCGGAATAGACTGAATCTGTGAAAGTTTCAATGTTGTTAGCGGTTGTGATTGCAGTCAAGTCAGTGGAAGCATAGTATATGTCCATCCAACAGCTGTCTAGTGTTCACATTTATTTAAGAACAGTTTGTAGTATTGCAGTGCGGCCACCAGTTTGATTTCAATAAGGACTGCATCTGGCCATATGTCATTTCCGTCAGTGCACGTCCTGGGTGTCTTTGTGAACTGTGGCCATCACTTGTGCAGGTTTGCATGTGGCGAAGTCGTGAGGAATTTCATTAGGGATTTTGCACATATACGGAAAGTGAAGCAGACTTCTGATAAGTCCTAGCATTGGACTGGTCCAGGACATAGGCTAGTCATCAGACAGTGCATGTACAGTTGATTCACTGAGGATTTTGATATCTGAGGTACAGCAGCGAGGTCCTTTCTGGAATACAGCTCCTGGCATAGGAAAAATATAGCATGTGTATTGTGCATATCTACTATATATATAGCACTATGTCCGGGATTGGTGTGCTGTGTAGTCTGATATTCATGAGGAATTCCATTAGTGGACTTGATCATCACTTATATTATAAATTGTCTCAGGATTAATTAATTTATTGTATTCTGTGGACACATGGTATTTGGATTGTGATCAAGGACTATTTGGTCTGGCATATACAACTGTTTGCCTGCATTTATATGGTTTGTCATGATTAAGTAATGTCTATTCTTCAGTTAGGTTTGGCTCATTTTCAACCTGTGACAGCAGATACTTGGACATATGGCATATTTCTTAACTTGTTTTTTGTCTAGCTTAAGGAGTTTTTTCTAGTCATTAATGTCAGCATAAATTATCAGTGATCAATAGATTTTGTTAACTGTATTCTTGTCATGGTTGAAATAGATGTGGATCTTGACTCCCATGTTGTGGGGCATTAATCATTCTTTTTACAAAGAGCAAAGTTCTAATAATAATTCCTTTGAATGTGTCCAATTTTAGCAGGTTATAAAATATTGATATCATTTAATTTACCCAGAGATTCACTGCTGGTTTTCCTGTGGTACAACATTGTCAAGCAATTGTTATAGGTATATTTTGTCCGTCACTGATAATCTTGGATGCATAAGGTATCAAATAGTATTGAGTTTCTGCTGATGTGAAGAAAGCAGTGAATATACACACAAGGCATTCTATTAAAATAAAGGATTCTCGTGACACCTTGGATCCTAAGTATTATCATGGATTACACTGCTGTACCATTAAATGAACAAGACGGAGAGGTGAAAGAAGGTAAATGGACAGCTTAATTGTTAAATCAATAGGTAAAGGGGAATATATCTGAACAAAGTCAAGTATGATAGGCACTCTGTTTCATTGAAGATCTCTTACAGTATCCTTATTTTCAGTGTGGCACCTTGACCCCCCTAACCCCCCCC